AAGTGTGACGATCCGGCCATATAGTTCGAAAAACCGACAACCGATGGGGAAGAAAGGTTCGGAAGGATGGGTGTGGCAGCCTCGTACCGGTAGACAAAGTCTAGGGCGCCCCTCCACTAGATGGAGTGACGACCTGGTAAAACATGATGCAGGTGACTCGGGACCGTTATTTTTGGCGTTGCTTGCGGAAGGCCTATGTTCAGTAGTGGACTTGTGACGGGCTATAATGACGACGATTATGAATGTTTTTTGAAAAACCAATTAGTTCCAATTAGTTGTCTTTGTAACGTACAAAATTGTACAAATTACCTTCAAAATCACGACCACTAGATACCTACTATTGCTAACGTTAGATGGTAAGCGAAGTTTGAACACCGAGTGAGCAGTTGCACTGCTTCCACCGCTGAAGCAGGTTGCAGATATCCCAAAGGAAACGACAGTAAGGCCACATTCTGCACTCTACGCGTCTCAAATTTGATTTTGCTTAGTGATATTTGAGGTTCTGTTTGGGTACTTCAACCTCCAAAGCCGCGGTGTCGTTATTAAGTCACCTAAGCAAATCTGTGGAGAACTCACAGTGGTAGAGCCACGCGGCAGCTTTTAGTGTCGCATGGTTGGGCCGGTGCTAGTGGACTGTGTGCTCGTTTGTCACCCTTATCCTATAAAAAAAAAACTCTCACGTTTGTTGTGGGGCGGGCATGCCAAAATAAGATATCTGTTTACCTACCATTGAGAAAACTTTTTACTCAACCAGTAATACCTAAAACAAGATGATTTTTTTTATAGGATAGGGTGACAAAGGAGCACACAGTCCACCTGATGGTAAGTGGTTGCTGTGGCCCACAGACATCTACATCTGTCCTCGCTTGCGAATCAAAATGAAAATGCGTTGTCACCCGTGAGGACTCAGATGCCTCTTTTCCAGTAAAAAGGGTCTCCGGTTCTCTACACTCACGATACGAAACACAGCAGTTTTAAGCTGGTATTTTACGCTGGTATTCTGTGAGAGCGTGGTCCTTCCCCGGTCGAGCCGACCCATTCGTGCTACAACTATACTACTAATATAGCTGCAGCATGGCTCTACCACGTTATAAAATGAACTAAATCGGCAATAAACCCAAAAACTGATTTTGGCCCGACCTGGAACACGAAATTGGGACCTCATGATCGAAAGTCGCGCTTACGACTAATATATGTAATATGAAATTACCCTTGAAGTATTATTAAAAACGTAAAATGATATAAGTACGTAAATTTATAATATGAGCACGACATTCTAAAAAAAAAAAAACAGAAAAATTATGACCGTAGAGTTATTTGGAACCATCACACAATGTTAATTTAGTGGCGAATAGCTTAGGAACTGAAGGTTGCATGTGATGGCGTCATCATACCTTATTTTTCGAGTTCGATTAAAATAATTATCGAAAATTATGATAATTGACAACTGAGAATATTTATCATCATTACATCATTACTGTGTGTATATAGTCTAGTATGTAAACTTTATAGCCTTTTCGTGAACAGCCATTAGGGCAAATGAAAAAAAGTTTAAAGCAGTGGCTAACAAATACTTCCTTTTATAATATCAAAAAATTATTTGACCATATCTATATTTGCTATTCGTTTTTCATTGATTTTATTTAACTTATGTACGTTACGTTTATTTTACTGTATGTACGTTAATCGAAAAAAAGGTAATTCCCTAAGTTTGTTATATTCTTCTAAAAACATAAATATCTATAATCATTACAAAGTGGTAGTTACATACTGGTCTATTATTTGTGTTTATTTCTAATTTTTATTCATTTGTTCTGAACACATTTATTTTAAATAATTTTTGCACATGCCTCGAAAGGACAAATATGTGTAAAACTAATATTGACTCTGTATCCATCCATCTGTACCTACCCATGTTTTTAGCTAAATAAATGATTGATTGATTTTGATCGGGTAAAAGTTTAGTAAGATTCCTAATCAGTATCAAAAATATATACAAGTGTGCTCATTATAACGATTTGGTATCGACCGATTAATAAGTTTTATTGGTTTTATTGTGTGCAAATAAATCAGTCTGGATATTCAACGCGCGCACCCTTGTCCATTGTTCAGTCGATCGACTTGGCCAATAGCTTCAATTCACTCCAAGCTTGTCGTGGATATGTTTTATGTTAAAGTTACACATGATAACGTGTATCGTAATAAATAAGTTTGATAAAGAAGTTTAAGAAAAACACGTTTCATTAATAATAATTATAACATTTAACAAAAAGTAAAAACCGACTTCTAATTGCTAAAAAGAAGTTATTTATTTGCTACACGTAGCGATGGAATTTTTTAGCCAAATTTTTATGGAATTACCTTGAAGTATAATCTATTTATTAAAGAAAGAATTATTAAAATTAGTTCGCAATCTGCTAAGATATCGCATTACATACACAATAAGAACACACACTCGAATTGAGAAACTCTTCCTTTTTGAAGTTGGTTAAAAACTTATGAGTGCACCGATGACAATAAGAAAAAAGCGGACGAAGCCTGTGATACAATTGTACCTAATTGGAATAGAATAGAATAGAATAGACTAGAATATTTTTTATTCAATATACATTACAAGTGTAATTCTTATTGAAAGTCATTTTTTACTTTACCACTGGTTCGAAAAAAACCCTCTGTCCTGGGAAGAACCAGCAAGAAACCCAGCGGGACTTTTTTTTAAAATAAATTTTACAATATAAATGATTACGAACTATTTACAAAATTTATTTTAGAAACTGCTTGGAAGCGACCACTTCATTCCCAGGGGTTATTATCAACCATGTATTCATTTATACTATAATAACCCTTTTTATACAGTTTCAGCTTAATAAAACATTTAAACTTGGTAATAGAGAGAACCTGTACACTTTCCGGGACCTTGTTGTAATAATCGGAATCGGAATCGGCTTAGTGTCAAGGGCGTGTTTGACCTTGTAGAGGCGGTGTAAGAATATCCACTATCCCATATCGTTACGTAAGTGTCTTAAGAGGCGACAGAAGGAAATAAACCAAAAGATGAGTAGCAGCGTCCTCCTAAAAGCCACTAAAAGTATTAAACTGCGGTTGCCAACCCGCCTGCCAAGCGTGGCAACTATAGCAAATATCCCCCCCTATAAGGCAATCTGTGGGGGAGGCCTATGTTCAGCAGTGGACTTTTGATAGGCTGTAATGGTATGGTAATGGCAGTGCCAAGGGTAAAACAAAACAAAACACGTATCTTTCTCCACTTCCTTAGAAAGCAGCTTAACAACTAGCATATTGTTCGGGAGCGATCAGCCGACTGTTGGCTAGGCTACGCATTACCGACTAACCAGACTATTTAGCTGTTTACGCGTTAGCAGCACCGACCCGACTAAGACCATTTTATCGCAGTGCAGGATGTAAAAAAATTACACCAGTAAGAGACAAGGCTAAGTATTTGCTGTTTTGAAAAATCATCCCATTTGGTCGTTATAACCTTACCAAACAATAATGGATTATTGTTGTTATATATAAAGTAAGTCTTAATCGCAAAAACATTAATTCACAATATAATATATATAATATAATATATATAATTAGTAGCGTTCGGGAAACTACGACACATCTTCTCGTCGGACATACCTCAAAATCTTAAAACGAAATTGTACAACCAGTGCGTGTTGCCAGTGATGACTTACGGATCTGAGACGTGGTCCTTCACTGTTGGCTGTATGAGGAAGCTCTAGGTCGCTCAGCGAAATATGGACAGGGCTATGCTCGGGGTGTCTCTGCGTGATAAACTTAGAAATGAGTATATCCGCAGTAGAACCAGAGTAACCGACATAGCCCAACGGATTAATAAGCTGAAGTGGCAGTGGGCCGGCCATATAGCTCGAAGAATCGACAACCGATGGTGAAGAAAGGTTCTTGAGTGGCATGATAATAATAATAAACAAATAAACAATATTCAGGTTGTTCTAATTCTATGTCTGGTACTAAATGGTTTACTAAATGATATTTTAATTATATATGATATTCTTACGTGATATAGCCACGTTGTAGCCAAATTATGGTTGCAGTACGAATGGGTCTGCTTGACTGGGGTAGGACCGCGCTCTCACAGTATACCAGCGTAAAATGGCAACATAAAGCCGCGTCTCCACCAAAGTTTTGTTGCCAACTCAACAGTTGCCAACAAAACTTGTTTCCATTTTCAGCGGCAACATCAAAGAAATACGCTTGTTGCCAACATTTGTTCCCTCGGTGGAGACGCTTGTTGGAAACAGTTATAAACAGTTGGAAACATAACTGTTGTCAACATTTTTGGTGGATACGCGGCTTAATGCTGCTGTGTTTCGTATAGTGAGTGTAGAGAACCACCACCACTCTTTTCAGTAACAAAGACCCTTTTTACTGAAAATTGGCATTCGTTCTTAGTCGCCAGGGTTGACAACGCATCTGCATTTTGATTTATCACCTTTAATCTATAAAATAATTGGTAATATTTTATATATGAGTTATGCTTATTTACATATTTCTTTTTCATCATCAGCCGTGAACCAGTTTACAACTAGAGTGATAATATTAACATCCCCGTAAGATTTTAAACACCTTTACATCCACATAAGAGGTGCCGCACGTCTTAAATTATTTATTCATTTTTAAAAATTCTTTTATTGTGAAACCTTTGTAAACACTAAAATGTTACTTTTTTAATTGCGTAAAGAGGTTTTATTTATATCTGGTAGAATTAGAAACCAGTCAGCATTTCTCCTTTCAATCAATATGTCAAAATTTTCGTGTCAGTTGGATATTGTGCCGTATATAAAAATGTTTCGTTAAATTTTTCACGTTATCTTAAAAGAAACAAAGTTGTTTAATACTTTTAAATATAATTCCGTCTTGTCCATTTTTGTTCTCAATTATGAAATAGTGTAGGACGGAAATCAAGATGAATTTTTTTCGATTCTTTTCACCGGAAAAACATCAAGAACGAGATGATGAATAAATGTGGAAAAGTAAAAAACCCTTGCAAATTATGCTTGCGGGGTGTAACAACCAAGACAGGGGTCCAGTGTAAAGGTGTTTGTAAGAAATGGGCTCATTTCAAATGCTTAAATTATACGCCGGGGAAAATCCAGGACATCAAAGCTGGTATTATCAAGATCACTTGCCCCTGTCCAGATTGCAATACGACAGAACCCAAAGAGATCATGGTTGATCCTCCTTATACTTGTAATAACTTCCAGTGCCCAGCCAATAGTCTCCCAACATGCGAATCCACAGACTGTCCTAGTATGTACCATATTACGAAAACTCCAATCATGCCTGAACCTTCACCGTCTAACATAAGTTCTCACATTAGACCGCCTCTATGTCCAATAAAGCAGCGATGTGACAATTCTCCTCCATCCTCTCCACCGATGAATTGGTCTTTTGATTCGTCGTCTTTTCCTAAGCCACTTGACGGGCCTACTTGTAAAAAGCAGTGTGAAGCCCAACCCATTTCCAAAGTATTCGAATTTACTCCAAACAGTAAGCCTTGCCCTCCACCACCAAGATGTCCTCCTTCGAATCGACCATGCCCTCATCTAACCCCAATGTCACAAGTTTCCACTAGAACGGAAAGCAAGATGTGTTCGCCGATTCGTTCTTTATCTTGTTCGTATTTGGCTAGAGATTCAACTTGTACCGGTTAGTTATTAATTTAATTATCTTTAATGTGTATTTGTAAAAGTTTATTAGATTTTTTTTTCATTCATTACAGCCCGTCAAAAGTCGACTGCCGAAGATCCCCCCCCCCCCTCCCCTTCCCTCACATGCTTAGTAGGCGGGTTGGCATCTGCAGGTTGCTTTTTTATAGGATAAAGGTGACAAACGAGCACACAGTTCACCTGATGGTAAGTGGTTGCCGTAGCCCATAGATATCTATCCTCGATTATGAATCAAAATGCAGATGCGTTGTCACCCGTGAGGACTAAGATGGAATGCCTCGTTTCCAGTAAAAATCTCCGGTTCGCTATATTCACCATACGAAACACAGCAGTGTTCAGCTGCTATTTGACGCTGATATTCTGTGAGAGCGTGGTCCTTACCCGGTCGAGCCGACCCACTACAATTTTACCAGTAATATAGCTGCAGCGTGGCTCTATCACGTTGTTATTATTATTGTGTTGTTATCGAGAAGTTGCTGCTGCCCATCTCCTTGCTTGTTTCCCTCTGTCGTCTCTTATGCCACGGGACGACATGGGATAGTGAATACCCTTGCACTGCCACTGCACGGCTTAATAGATTATTTATTAAATAAAAATGTTGTAACATAATTTCAGGTTCCCAAAGGACATGGTCGCAAAATGACAAAAGCCTAGGTAAATATTAATTGTATATTATCTCCACGTTAGTATTGTTAGTATAGTGGTACCAGACCAGTGTTTGTAAGTGTAACAGCTGATTATGTGGTCCCAGATTGGGCCAAAAATCAGTTACTGGGGTTTCCTTCTGTCAAGAAATTGTCAGTAGTCTGGAATATCTGACAGTGTTTCACCCCTTGCCTCAGAAAGCATGATAAGACGTTGGTCGTGCGTTGATCTCTCAACGGTCGGACGGTAAGCCGACCCGAGAAGAAGAGAGAGATCACTAGTGACTGTGTGTGGTTTTAAATAATGCCAATTATAGCATTTTTATAATTTCTAAGATAAGATTGTAATAATTAGTGCTTTACGTCGATTTTTTCATAATAAGAATATTAACGTCAGTAACGTGTATACTTATAACCTATAGTTTTTATGGTCCCTTTTTAAGGCCGACCACATACATACGGAATTCCGTTTCGAGATTCCGTTTCAGAATTGCGAAAGGGTCGGCCACACACATACGGAATCACGTGTTGCCCGCAAAATTTCGAACGGAAAACTACCGTACGTGTGTGACGGTTCATATATTTTATATGAACTTGCTGCGTTCGGAATCTCGAATCGGAATATGTAAACGGAATTCCGTATGTATGTGGCGAGCCTAAGGTTATATTTTATATTGTTTCGACGTGTTTGACCTGAAACTGCTTGAGACATTTTTCATTACTTAAATATTATCAATAAAATGACTATAATATGTACCATAATGTACAATAATGTACCAAACGCACAGTTCAAATTCCAATCAATTTTATCTTTATTGCTATGTTGCATGATGCAGCATGATGCAGCAAACTTATTTTAGTGCATTGCAATATCAGTGCACTATACACTAAATTAAATGTGGTGAAATAAAAGAGATTACTTTAATTTTATGTAGGAAAAAAGTGTGTGAAATGGTTAAAAATTATGAGTAATCGTTTTTTATATTTTTACATTGTCATCCGACTCTGAGCTACATATGTTTAAAATTACTTAAGTCTTTAGCTCATCGGGAATTCAACCCGAACAGACATATACCAAAGCGAAGATAATTAAAACGTAGTAAAAAGAATCGATTACTTAGGTTTTTAATAAGCGTATCTAAGAGGAATAAACCATATTAATAATTAATAGAATCAGGCGTTACTTTGCGGAAATCCATTATATTAAAATCCGCTCAACGTACAAACATATTAATATTTCTAATATAAACCCCAAACGTTGATCCCTCGTGATTTATACATAAATGAATGTTATTGAAAGAAATGGAGAAAATGGAGAAATGGAAAATGGAGAATATGGGAAATATATCATTCATTCATTCATCAAACACACATATATTATCAATCGCCTCCCATAGATTGGCATGAAGGGCCATTGTTGCCACGATTACAACCAGGGTTGGCAACCTAAGATTTTTTTTTAGTTTTTTTTGTGAACGCTGCTTATCTCGTGGTTTCTTTCCCACCGTATTTTCTATGTTATATATTAAATTAAAAACTTAAAATAACAAGTTATTTTCTTGTGCAGAGTGCGACACAACTATTACTCCGAAGTATATTTCGTCGTCGGACTCGCAGTTGTCGAAATCAAGGGAAACCCAAAAATCTTTGTACTGCACCATTGAACAAATGTGCTCGACAGTAGGACAGCTGTCCGGCCAACTGAAAGAATTGATGTGTAGAATGATGGAAGCTTTCGAGAAAAATCGCCCATGCTAAATACTGACAATGTAATGCAAATAAATATTTGGTTATTTGTATTTTGGTGTTTCATTATCTAATTTTACAAATGAACGAGTTTAATCAAGAGTCAAAATGATGTTAGGCGTCAGCATAGATTTAGTAAAAAAAAATTATATAAAACCGAAAGGAGACTATGGCATATGCCAAAAAGAACCTTTAGCTTCCGATAGATAGCAGAATAATCAGCTCGTAGTAATGCCCAGGCTTAGGTACCGGACTCCACCAAACAGGAGACGAGACGAGAGAAGAGTTTTAAGCAATTAATAGAATTTTGTTATTCACACATCTCGTCTCATATTTGTATGGCGTGATTGAAGCGGGATGTGAGCTGTCTTGCTGAAATTGAGTTGGGCAGCGGTATAAAGTGGAAATGTATGCTGTGCCTCGCAAGCTGGCGACGGCGCGTAGCGGAGACGAGAATAGATGTGAGCAGCGTGCAGTTTTTGTAATAGTGAAACTGTATGTTCATCTTAACATCCAACACTCGCCGCACACAGCTCAGTTCGGTTCTAACCAGCACACATCATTTTCAGATAGGGGGTGGATACCGCTCAGCTGAAAAACATCTCTTCATGCCTCCATTTCGGACATCTCCACATATGCCGCTTTGGTGGAGTCCTGGCTGTTAAATAACTAGACCGGTGACGGGAAGCAGAGTCAGAGGTGGGAATCACCTGGTTATTTTATGCTTGGCGAAAAATGACGTTTGTACCGCCATCTATTTGAACCCATTATATTCTTTCTGGAATTTCTCGTAGTCGTTTCTTATGTCAACCAAGAGACAAACTAGAGCAATAAATTATTTTACACTGCCATCTTAAGCTTAATCTAACAGAAGACGGATTTCAAAATAATCAACAGCTTGAGTAGAGTTGTAGTGAAATTCTGTGAAACTGTGACTACTGAACTACTGGACACCTTCAATTTTCCAACGATATAGACCTTATGGCAGAAACGATGAAGAACTTATTCAGCACTATGCTCAATTACCTTAATAGTGCCTGCCAACGAATAGGTCTTAAACTAAATAAAATTAGCATGTACTCAACAAAAGTCAATTGCAACGTTCATGTCACCTATTCCGGTAGTTGTTGGGAGCACTCCAATCGAAGTTTTTGACGAGCATGTTTAAGTAGGATATTCTCCAACTAGTCGAAGTGAGCCCAACTTAGACCGACAGTTTGATTGAGGTATCCAACTGGGCTGGGCAGCGTTCAGAGCTACTCAGCCATTCGCGGCGACAGAAGAAAACTGAACCAGGAGATGTCATCACCATCTTACTAATAACAGCTGAATAAAAATAAGCTGCGGTTGCCTACCCGCATGCCATCCGTGGCATTAATGGCAAATATCCCAACTATGAACCAATTTGTATTTTTTTTATAGGGAAGGGGCCAAACGAGCATACGGCTCACCTGATAGTAAGTGACTACCGCCGCCCATGAACAACTGCAACACCAGGGGAATTGCATGTGCGTTGCCAGGATGACAACGCACTTGCAATTAAAAAGGAGTAAGCTCTTTTCTTGCAAGTCCCTAAGTCGTATCGGTCCGAAAAAATCGCCGGTGGTAAATTATTCCATAGAGAGGTCGTATGCGGAAGAAAACTCCTAGTGAAACGTACCGTGGTGGATCGCCAAGCATCCAGATGGTGTGGATGGTATCGGCAGATTTGCCGCGATGTGCGTTCGTGAAATTTGGTGGCTGGGATTAATCCGAACAATTCCTCAGAGCACTCCCGTGGTAAATGCGAAAGAAAATGCAATGGGATGCAACATCCCTACGCAGTGCCAGTGAATCGAGCCGATTGGAAAGGACTCGGTCGTCAAAGAGTGCGCCTTGTAAAGTTGCAGGCGGTGTGCCGGCATGAAATATTGTCCCGCTCTGCTGAGCACGCAAAGCTTTTTAGAGGCCAATTTGGCCTTCTCTTCCAAGTGACCACAAAACTGCACGTCACTCGATATGTCGACGCCGAGGATTCCGATACTGGCTGAGGCAACAAGGGGATTACTTTGAAACTGGGGAGATACGAAGGGGTTCTTTATAGCGGTAAACGCGCAAACTTGTGTCTTCTGAGGACTAACTACATTTTGTCGCCCTCAATCCCTGACTTTGTTCAGCAAAGACTCGACTTCAGACACAAGTTTGTTCCGGTACTCGGCGACGTTTTCCCGACAAATATTGACGCGGCCGGTGTATAGAGCATTATCAGCCCTGTCATCCGTATAGCAATGAATGTTACCGCAACGTTATTCGCAACATATTGATATGCAGAAGTTCCATTATATGAGGCCTACGTTAATATACAAAATTTGACCTGCTCAAAAATCAAAAACGTTATTAAACTAAATTTGTATAAAAAGGTTTATCATAAAATTAAGGAATTTACGGATGATAATAACCCCTGGGAATGAGGTGACCGCTACCAAGCTATTTTTTAATTTGTATTGATAATTTTGTAACATCATGATTGTAAGCTGTTATTTTATTTTAAAGTCCCGTTGGGTTTCTTGCTGGTTCTTCTAAGGACAGAGGTTTTCTTCCGAACCAGTGGCAAATTAAACAAATAAGTGACTTTCAATAAGTATTATTTATAATCTATATTGAACAAAAAAGTTTCTATTTCTGTTTAGCAGTGGACTTACGATTGGCCGTAATGATGATCACGAAACTATAACTGTTGATGGAGGATTTCCCGTAATCATTACTCTTGGCATTAGCAATCACAGTGGCAGAGGATGTTTACTTTTCGTCGCTCATCTTGGTATTTTACACCTAGTGAAATATTTATTAGTTAGTTCTAGTTAAGCGAAATACCACGGTTTTCATACTTACCTAATAATTTTACAACAATTTTTTAAATTAAGAAATAATATACCCAACTATTTTAATAGGTTTACATTCTTTATCTTTCTTTAGTTTTTGATAAAATGTTGATAATAGTTTTACTTGCTCACCATCGCGTATTGAATTACTTGTTTAAAAAATACTTCTCAAAGAGAAGAAAAAAGAAATGAATTGACAACGTCTGTTCGCGCTGTCAATTCTCTAACAATTTTTATAAATAAAGAAATAATGCCAACTTAAATAACGTATATAGATAAATATTAACCAGCCAACCATGATTACTGATTTAAAACGGTTATAAATACTTCGAAAATGTCCAAGTGCGGCAAGGTTAAAAATCCCTGCAAAATTTGTTTGGGACCCGTCACCCCTAAGAACGGATTGCAGTGCAAAGGTGCTTGTAAAACATGGATGCACTTCGAATGTTTGAACTACACTCCTGGAAAAATTAAAGATGTAAAGGCCGGAATTATTAAAGTGACATGCCCTTGCCCCGATTGTAAGACTTCCGAACCAAAAGAGTATCGTACAGATCAACCTTACAGTTGCACCAACATACAGTGTCCGGCTAATAGACCAGCTAAATGTGATAACAAAGAGTGTCCAACAAACAAAACACCAGACAAAATAAACCAGACATCAACGAATTTAATACCAACTTGTCCATTATCAAAGTGCGGCACAGAGTGCAAGAAAAATAGCCATCCCCAGTTGCCAAATCAACCACCAATGATCAGCAAACCTTGCGCACCTCCTTCTTCTATTTCAGGCGGGAGTGTTGAGATATCACCAACACCAATACCAGCACCAAGCTCAATAGAAGACCCAGTATCAGGTGATACGATAAAACCACTACCAAGAGCTGACTTATCTTCATTGGGAACTCTTCAGCAAATGTGTCGAACTGTTGGCCAGTTGGCAAATCAAATAAATCATTTAATGAATAAAATGAAGCAGGTAGTAAACGACCCAGAGGGACCAGGATTTACAAAAGAGAAAAAGACAACAACTTCATCAAGTCCACCGACGCCACAGGGTAATAAAACTAACTGTCCAAAACCTTGTCACTGTCCTGGAAATCCTAATCGCAAGAAATAAAATCTGTAAAAGTTACGTATAGTTATACACTTGCACCGCATGCACGTTCATACCGACTTATCATCTTGTAAACCAGATTTAAAACATGCAACTTTGTTGAACTGAACTTTTTGTTTTTATTAGATATTTCACATCATAGTTTTGAAAGTTTTAATAATTTCTGAGTTTATTTTTGAATAATCTTTTGAGTTAGTCAAATAAGAATGATATTCTAAAATTCTTGACAAGCACTTTGCCGTATAACTGATTGATCATTTATTAAATGCAGCTTAACATTTGTAACATGGGAAGAAGCGTCAAGGTGTGATACAAGGTGAATTGGACTGATTTTATGTGTTATATTGATGAAGACTTGGTTGAAGGCAACTCAGATGAATTTTTCTAAATTATTCAAATAAACTTACATTCTTATGAAACCAGCACCAGCACCAACCTCAATAGAAGACCCATCAGGTTTGTCTTCATTACAAACTCTTCAGCAAATGTGTGGGACTATTGGCCAGTTGGCAAATCAAATAATATATCATTTAATGAATAAAATTCCTCTTTGCTTATGTGAATCTTATTTGAAGTGTCAATGAAATTTATTTAAAAGTCTTGTTGCATTTCGAGTTGCATAAATTATTTCAATTGTTAAATTAAGTGTTACACTTTAAACTAAATTGTTGCAAATTTCATTATAACATCACTGTTATCTTTCTCTTGGTGATTAAACAATATTTTTGATTATGAATAAGTGAATTGAACTTACCATTATTACTCTTGTACGGTTTCCGCCAATTCTTACATATTTACTTCGTAAGCAAGGCAAGCCACACAATTTATTTCGTATTTATTGTTATTTAAAAGATACCCCAACATTATTAGGCACAATAATATAATATTTCTTACGAGGATATCCGAAGAAGAACAAAAGTAATTGACATAGCCAAGCGGATCAGTATCCCAGTGGCAATGGGCCAGTCATACCTATTAATCGAAGAACCGACAATCGATTAAGAAGAAAGGTTCTCGAGTGACAGCTTCGTATTGTTAAGCGAAGTGTAAGCCTGACGCTCACTGAATGGAGTGACGACCTGCTAATATATGCAGTACGTCGATGGATGCAGGTAGTTACAGGCCGTGTTTTGTGGCATTCCTTGGGGGAGAATTGTGTTCCGCATTGAACTCGTGAAGAGCTGCAGTGATTGGTGATTAGTCATTCTATGCTCTTTCGTTGGCCTATATACATACGTCTCTGCTCTTACGTAGAAAAAGATTTTGGACCAAGAAAGAGGTCGGCAGCCTCACGTGCCTTCGATTCTTTTTAATAACACTGACATGCAGGTGAGGTGTTTTACGTCCCGATGTCATAGATAGCCCGGCTACCTTCAGTTTTTGAATATTAATTTTTGGTCTGATCTACGCAGTATGAGCTTATAGTATCTTGAAGTCTTGCAGTGGTATGCTTGGGTTTGGATTTAATTTTATTAATTATAGGATCCCAAGCAGATGGCAGCACCCATCCATCTTCTCTATTGAAATTAGGATGTTTTTTTTTAATTTCAATAGCCTCGCGAATCATCCTTGGTAGGAATCGGTGTTCTTTTGCGAGGTTTTGTGGTCTATCAAATCTAATGTAATGTAATGTAATGGTGGGGACGATCTTGAACATGTTCACACACTGCAGACTTACCGGAACGTCGGTGCTTCAAGTCAGCTATATTTTCTTTCACGCGGGTTTTTATAGATCTTTTTGTTTGTTCTATGTAAGAGACACCACTTTCACAATCCAGCTTGTACACTCCTGCATCTTGTAGAGGGATATGACACTTGACGGATGGTAAAAATTGACTAATCTTCTTCGGCGGCTAGAAGTATCTTTTAATGGAAGCTCGCTTCAAGATTGTCTGTGACTTCAACCTTGTCTGTGACTCCTCTGACATATGGTAGTATAGCAGGCAGACGCTCGACTGTGGCCGTCTTCACTCGGTCACTGGACCCGGGACCCGAAGCTTGTTGTCTTGCAATACTTGCTCGACGTGCTGAAGCTCGGCGGCCAGATGTTTTCTGTCACAGACCCCCCGTGATCTCTGAAACAAAAATTTTCCCACGGTAGTTAACTGTGATGGATGATGGTGCGATTCACCATTTAAATATCAGTTGGTATGGGTGTGCCGTGTAGTGGCGGTCAAGAATATCCACTACCCCATATCCTCCCGTGGGTGTCGTAAAAGGCGACAAAGGGAAACAGCCAGGAGATGGGCAGCAGCATCTTCCTGATAATAGCCAAATGACAATAAAAAAACTGCGGTTGCCAACCCGCTCGCCAAGCGTGGCAACTATGGCAAATACCCCCCTATGAAGAGAGTAACAAAGAGACGGCCCCCAGTCCCCGGCGGCCCCGCTATTCCTGGCTACGGTGGCGACCATGGTAACGGCGGGGCAGGGGGTGCTAAGAATCTCCGGTGGAGGTTCGGTTGCCACCTTAGACGACTCGACCTGGCAACGTACAACGCACGCACCCTGAGGACTGACGAGAAGATCGTGGAGCTGGAAGAAGAGATAGACAAGTTGCGCTGGCATATTATAGGATTATCTGAAGTCCGAAGAGAGGGGGAGGACACGGTAATCCTCGAATCCGGCAACTTGCTCTATCACCGGGAGGGCGACCATCTGTCCCAAGGAGGTGTCGGATTTATCGTCCACAAGTCTCTCGTTAACAACGTTGTAAAAATCGGGAGTGTGTCGACGAGGGTTGCGTACCTTATACTCAGAATCACCAAACGGTATTCGCTGAAGGTCATACAGGTTTACGCACCAACCTCGGCACACCCCGATGAGGAGGTGGAGGAAATGTATGAGGATATCTCTAGAGCCATGCATTCCTCCAAAACCCAATATACGGTGTTAATGGGAGACTTCAATGCAAAACTAGGCACAAGAGAGAACGGTGAGCTGAAAGTAGGGAAATTTGGAATAGGGCAACGGAACCCAAGGGGCCAGCAGCTGGCCGACTTCATGGAGAAAGAGGGACTCTTTATGATGAACTCTTTCTTCCAGAAGCGGCCCCACAGGAAGTGGACCTGGTCGAGCCCCGACGGTTCCACAAAAAATGAGATTGACTTCATTATGACGACCAGACGACAACTGTTCAGTGATGTCTCCGTGATCGCGAGGGTGAAAACTGGTAGCGATCACCGAATGGTTAGAGGCACACTGAACCTAAACGTTAAGTTGGAGAGGTCTCGTCTAATGAAGTCAACGCTCCGTCCCCCTCGTGCTCTGTTTCAAAGTCCCGAAACCTTTCAGCTCGAGTTACAAAACCGTTTTCAGTGCCTAGAAGACTGCAATGAAGTGGACGATATGAATGACAAGCTCGTGGAAACTGTCCATGCGGTTGGAGCTAAGTTCTGCAAGACCCGCCGCAGAAGAACACAAAAACTCTCCGATCACACTCTTAATCTCATGGCTGTTAGACGGGAGATGAAGCTACATTCTTCAACAGACTTGACAGCATACAGGCATCTGAACAGACAGATCTCCAAATGCATGCGGCGGGACTTACGCAACTTCAATACAGCTCGTATTGAAGAAGCGATCGAGCGGAACCAAGGCTCCAAAGTCTTTGCCAGAGATCTGTCTGCCAGAAAGAGCCAACTGTCAAAGCTGAAGACAGAATGTGGCAGCATCGTTTCCGGGACACCTGAGATTTTGAGTGAGATTGAGAGGTTCTATGGGCAGCTGTACACATCATCGTTGGAGCCACACGCAAGTGTGAGTAACGATCCAAGAGCGAGTCTCATCCGACACTATTCCGAAGATATCCCGGATGTCAGTCTGAGCGAGATTAGGATGGCTCTCCAGCACCTTAAAAACGGTAAGGCCCCAGGCGAGGATGGAATTACAGCGGAGCTTCTGAAAGCGGGTGGAAGACCGGTACTTGAAGTCCTTCAGAAGCTCTTTAATTCCGTCCTCCATGGTGGCATTACACCGGAGGCGTGGAGCAGAAGTGCGGTGGTCTTGTTCTTCAAGAAAGGTGACAACGCTCTCTTGAAGAACTACAGACCGATTTCCCTTCTGAGCCGCGTCTACGTGCTGTTTTCGAGAGTCATTACGAATCGTCTCGCGCGCAGACTTGACGACTTCCAGCCTCCCGAACAAGCCGGTTTCCGAAAAGGCTTTAGCACCATAGACCACATACATACCCTTCGGCAAGTTGTACAGAAGTCCGAAGAGTACAATTTGCCACTATGTCTGGCGTATGTGGACTATGAGAAAGCCTTTGATTCCGTCGAAATTTGGGCGGTGCTGCAGTCCCTTCAGCGGTGCCAAGTTGACTGTCGGTATATCGAAGTGTTGAAGTGCTTGTACAGTAGGGCTACGATGGCTATCCGAGTACAGAACCAGAGTACGAAACCTATCCAATTGCAGAGAGGTGTAAGACAGGGTGACGTCATATCCCCGAAACTCTTCACCGCTGCATTGGAAGACGTTTTCAAGCTTCTGGACTGGAAAGGATACGGTATCAACATCAATGGCGAGTACATCACTCACCTTCGATTTGCCGACGATATAGTCCTTATGGCAGAATCGCTGGAGGACCTAAGCACTATGCTCAATGACCTCAATAGTGTTTCCCAACGGATAGGTCTTAAGATGAACATGGACAAAACTAAGATCATGTTTAATGTCCATGTCACACCTATGCCGATAGTTGTTGGGAACACTAAGCTCGAAGTTGTTGACGAGTATGTTTACCTGGGACAAATAGTCCGACTGGGTAAGTCCAACTTCGACCGAGAGGTCAATCGACGGATTCAACTCGGCTGGGCAGCGTTCGGGAAGCTACGACACATCTTCTCGTCAGACATACCTCAAAACCTGAAAACGAAATTGTACAACCAGTGCGTGTTGCCAGTGATGACTTACGGAACTGAGACGTGGTCCTTCACTGCTGGCCGTATGAGGAAGCTCAAGGTCGCTCAGCGAGCTATGGAGAGGGCTATGCTCGGAGTTTC